TTGTGGCTCAAACCCATAAACCTTCACATGACAAGGTCACCCACCTGGAATTTCATGGGTTTTATCTTATGGAAAGAGTATGCATGCATAAGCGTTATTGAGGAGAAATGTACCCGTAACCACCATGGGATCAGTTATTGCTTCGTTCTGCCCTATTGCCAGCACTCTTCCTATGTCGCCAGCATTCCTTGCCTTAGGGCAGTCTCTCTTGTAGTTTCCAGCCTCACCACATCCATAACATGCCTAGCCCTCCCTAGCTCTAGGAATTTGGGTGATTGGTCGTGTCGGTGCCTTACAGATATGGGCAGTGTGCCCTTTCTTGTTGCAATTGTTGCAGTGCATCTCCTGACAATTTCCGTTGTGACAGAAATTACATTTGTTGCACTTTGGTAGGTTCCCCGCGTATTGCTTCGCTGGTGCAGGGGTAACCGGAGCAGCAGTGGTGGTTGTAGCAGCATGGACTGCCACTATGTGTTGCTTCTTGGAAGGTTCCTATGAAGACTGACCCTTCCTCTTGTTTCAAAACATCTTCTTGCTGTTGTTGTTGGTACTCATGTTGTTGTTCTTGTTTCCTATGGTTTGCTCCGGGACAGCAGTTGCGAAGCCTTGACAGATTCCATGGTCAACGAGAGCTTGTGTCAACTGTTTGGCGCTATCGAAAGTGACTGGTTTGGAAGCTAGTACACTTCCTCGAATCTGGGGTGACAGTCCCCAGATGTATCTTTCGATCTTCTTGCTCTCTAGAGAAACCATCCCGGGGCAAAGGATTGCCAAGTCACTAAACCTATTGGTATAGGTCGTGATGTCCGAGCCTACCATAGTAAGGCCCCAAAGTTACTACTCTAGCTTTTGTACTTCGCCCCTTGTATAGTACTCTTGCATTAACAATTGCTTTAGATTCTCCCAACCCAGAGAATTTGCCACTATCAGAGTTAGTGACTTGACGTGTCCATTCCGCCATACTAGGGCTCTCTCGGAGAATGTACAAGCGGCAAATTTTTCCTTGCTCACTTCCAGACATGCATAGATCTCAAAAACTGCTTCTGTTTTCTCTATCCATTGTGATAGAGCTATTATCCCTCCGGATCCATTAAAATTCATGGGCTTGCTATTGGTGAAGTCCTTGAAGGTGCAATCCCCTGAACGACCCTAACGTTGACTATTCGTAAAGCTGTTTACTCCCCCTCCAGAACCATTATTACTCATTTGGGCCATTGCCGCTGTTATTGCAGCTGTTACAACAACTATTAAGGCTGCATTTTCCGTTAATGGAGGTGGTAGTGGTGGAGGTATCGTGCCCGGCCCAGGTCTTAGGTTTGGACGAGGAGGCATCGCGCTACCAAGAAATAAAAATAAAAGATTATTAGTTTTGGTGGTTGAGAGTTGAATGATAATGTGTTAACTATCTTTAATAGTTCAAGAATTTGGTTTGACCAACATAGGGCTTTGAGTTTGATTCACCAATGGAGTTTGAATAATAATAAACAAACTCATGAACCTAAATGAAATGCATAGAATTAACACACGAAAGAGGTATGCCCTATATATATTAAACATATGGTTGTGTTACATTCGAAGTTAGAAGATTTTGACCTTTCTAAAGGTCTCTGATTACAGAAAGTTAAAGAAGGTAAGACTTTTAGCCGATGGTCATATTCTATATCAAAATTTGGGAGTTAGGCGAGCATTACTTGCTGCGCGGATTACGCGTGGAGCTTGACTCCGCATCCGATTGCTTGGCTCCCATGAGACGCTTGTCAAAGGCAGCTTGTTACTCCCTCAAATCTCTAATTTCAGAGAGAGCTGCAGTCATTTGCTCCTAGAGGGAGTTGGTGTGGAGTTGAGCATTCCCTTGTAGCATGTCTAGGCGACGGATATCAGCTGCGTTCTCTTCCATCCTTATTGTAACCTCGCGAATCCGGTTTGCTTGGACTCCGGATTGATAAGCCTGATTGGCAAGTTTTCCTACCACAACAGGGAGTGCTCGATCAGCTGAACTTCCTCCGCTAACATCGTAGAAGTCCCAACACATACCGTAAGAAGGACGCAGTCCTTGCTGCTGGCTCCGATGGTGGATGTGGCTTCCCCAGACGGGAGTTGGTCCTTGAAATCCCATCCTGAAAGGAGGTCGAACCGATAGAGGTCGGATGGCTGGCGGATTGATTACCTCGGGCTCTGAAGCTAAGCTATCTGAATCTTCCTCTTCCTCGTCTTCCATGGGTTTCTCCTCGGGGTCGTCCACAATCCATCCTTCATTACCTTGGTTGGGGTAGTAGGGGTTGCCGGGGTGATGAAATCCAGCCATCGAGTCTATACGAGAATAGGTTTAATAATTGACTATAAGCTAAAGCACATAAATTTTTACCCTTAAGTTTGACGCTTGAAGATATCCAAATACTCCCATGGTATTCTTAATGATATGCTCTTGGTAAGTTTTAAATTTGTTGTCTACTGCAGACACTCCTTGGCATATGTTAGTCGACTCTGGGACAAATATGGTTCATGAGGCTGTATTCATCCCAGTTCCGATTACATATCCCAAGGTACACCTGCATTGCACAATCTATTTATAATACTTCTATATTGATCTATTTATGACACTGTTGTTAATATGAAATGAATGCATGCCTACTTTACAAAAATTAATGTTAGTCCCAAACTATAGATCCAATTCAGTAATCAATGAAGCAAATAGCAATCAAAATTAAGTGTAGAAGGAGTAGAAGAGAGATAACATCAAGCATGCACACATCTATATCATAAATGTCAAGTACACCTTGAGAAGTACACACATTGCACTGTTAAGCAACAAGTACAATCTGACACAAATCAACTCCTATAAATAGTATCCCCACTAGCACATGAGTGTGCAGCCATACACACGTGTGCGGCACACACATGTGAGGCTGCACACATAAATCAAGTTTAACCAAATCACTACATTACATACACTTTCACCCTAATCAGATCTATACAAAATTAATGCCTAGCTCAAACCACAATATTATAGACTATCAATCTCCCCCTTGGTTTGAGGCTAGCATAGACTTGATCTTCATTCAGTTGCCTTTTCAAAGAACTTTAGATCTGATCTTCCCATGGAGCCCATCCACATTCTTTTGTTAATGATTGTGGTGACCATTGCAGTAAATTATTTTGCAGCTGCCTCCATAACCTCATTTCTACATATAATCTGGTGACGAGACAGAGTGTGGATATCGCTTTCCTTGAACCGAAGAAGATCTTTAGCACTTATCAACCTCAAGACTTGTTCTCGATCTTTGAATTTTATAGCAGCAGTGGCAGTTTCATCGTCGTAAGCCCATAATTCCATTTTATCAAGATATCCCTCATGGAAGTGTTGAGGGATAGGAATTTCCTTCTGTTGCTTAGTTGCAGGCCAAAGTATGATCTTCATAGGCTCGCCTAATTCTGGATCTAGAATTTCTTTGTCTTTTCGGTACAAGGCTCTTGCAGTGTTCATTGACGAAAAATTTTCTTTTACTTGCCTGTCAAGAAACCTTTTGAAGTTAGAGGCACTGGGATCTTCCGAGGGATTATGGAATGGGGCTCTCGATAGTTCAGTAAGATCCACTTTGGTCCATGAGTTAAAATCATGGATGCTTTTGTAATACTCAGGATTTCCTAAGTTCCTTTTCACAACCCACAAATTTGTTTCATGATCAAAGGCCCACATTCGAATTCCCGATCTATCTCCGTACTCATCACCAATTTTTTTTTCTTGAGATCAGTAACTGTTAGCATAGGGTCTTTGGCTTTGTGATTCTCGTTTGATTTCTTCATGAAGAGTAACCCTTTGCTTTTTTTAACTGTTACGGTTCTCTTGCCCTGTTTGATCATTATTCTGGCTCTGCTTCCTTCTGGCTCCTTTTCAAATATGTTGACAGTAGTGGTTGTTCTTGGTAGGGGTGGCAAATCGGGCTATCGTGTCATGTTTTTGTCTAACACGACACGACACGACAATATTTTATGTACCACGAACACGAAACGACACGATCTCGAGTTTTTTCTAACTAACACGAAAATGAAACGATTAAAAAACAACAAACACGACACGACACGACAAATATAACATGAAATAACAATTAATGTATTTATATAATATTTATTCATACATAACACGAGAAACACAGAAAACACGAAAAACATGACAAAAAATGTTAAATCGTGTCAAATTCGTGTCAAACTTTGAACAAGAATACGACACGACATGACGTCGTGCTTTTTACACTTGACACGAACACAACACGAACACAAATTTGAATTTTAATTTCGTCTCAATTTTGTTTCGTGCCGTGTATTTTTGTCGTGTTGTGTCATCAATTGCCACCCCTAGTTCTTGGAGCAGGTGGATCGACTGGAGAGTCTTCAGAGACAGATAGTGTGGGGGCTGTGGGAGGATCATCGATTCCATGTGGCTATTAAAAAAGGGCCTTGACTTTGTCTCCAAAAGCGGCATACAAAAAGTTATTGAGATTGAAGTACCTGGCTGTCACAGATCCAAGACTTGTTTGAAGATCTTCAATCTGTTTGGTCTTCTCTTCATCCTTTGCTCTGAGCTCTACAATGTTAGAGGTGATTTGATCCATCTGAATTGTCTTTTCAATGAGCTCTTGACGGAGAATCCCAATCTCTTCACTAAGATCAAACGAGGAAGATTTATCATCATCAGTGCACTCCTCTCTAAATGATATTCCTTTGCCACGAGAGGAGGTTGGACTGTGTTGGGCCAGGTGTTTTACCAACCTTGTAGAAGCTTCATCTAATGAAGGTCTGGTGGGAGAGTATTCTGGTATGGATGATGAGCCACCAGTTTCAAACATAGTGATTGGACCTTCATTAGATAGTTTTGGTGGAGAGTAAGCAGTGGTAGCAGTGATTGTGGAGAGAACTTGAGGAGCACTGCCCACAGTGGGTACCTCCAGACTTCCAAAAGATTGACTTGTTTCCATGGAAGACTAAGAGGTTTGGGGCTGAGTTTAGTTAGAAGCAATTGGAGCAGATGTTGAGATGGATGACACAAAGGGAGGAATCTCTAATCTCACATCTCCTTGGCTTGATGCAACCTCCAGGGGTTTTGATGTAGAGAGCAAAATTTTGACAACGTTTCCTTCTTCTCTAGTCTTGGTTGCTGAAGAAGCAACTTCATTGACTTTATTAGGACATCTGCTGGCGATTCCAAGAAAAGGACCGAATTCTTCATCATCAAGATCAAATTCTATATTTGTCGGGATGTGATCACTAATCCTTGTAAAATCAATTTCCTTAAAAAACTCTACATCATCATAACGATCATCATCATCATCATCATCCTCTTGAGCAGATAATGTTTCATTTTCTTTCTGATGATCATGTTCCTCAGCCACAACGACTGAAGGAGAATCATGAACCTCCTCAATTTCTAGCTCGGAAGTTGAATGAACAATGTCTTCAGATTCCATAGGGATGGACCGCTCTCCTAATTATGATCGATCACACTCTTCAAAAATTCCAAATTTTATCAAAGGGAACTTTCCTTCAAACACGAATTTCTCACCTCTCTTTTGTTTCATTAGCCCAAAAGCACTTGAACCAACGGATTTGAGATCCAAGGTTTCATTGCCTCTCCGCAGCTCAGGATGCATCACATTGAAGATGATTTGAAAAAATCTTGGGTACATCAAGAATTTATCCCCCTTGCTGACTTCAAGGTTTAGAATCAGCTCATGCATTATGAACTTGGAGAAGTTGAAATCAAATCCTACAGCCAAGGCTGCGATTGCTCCTGTGTTAACCAGGGAGATTTCATTTGCACCTGATCTCCTACCGGAAATACAGCTCACAAACATGTGGGCCAGATATTGCCAACAAGGAGGAAGCAACTTCTTGATGGTAGGGGGAAATGTTCCCTCTTACCCCATGTGTTCTAAGACATCCTCGGTTTGATGAATGTCAATCTCCATAGTGTACTCAGATATGTCGTCTATTTGGAGAGATTCCCGAATCATGCTCTCTAACACTTGAACTTTCTTTTCTTCAATTTTCGATTCAATGAACTTTTCACCATGATTATTCTTTTTCACAACTGCGCTCCTCCAGAAATCCTTGATCAGATTCTGATAAATTATAGGACATGTGGCTAAAGCATGGACCAGGCAAGACATCTTCAAACCATCAACAATGAACTTTAAGTCATTGTGAGCTGCATTAGGGTCTTCGAGAAAAATGGCAGAGTTGTGGACCTTAGCAAATTCCATGTCTCCCATCTTAATCTGAAAATAAACACAAGTAATCATTAGGGCAAAATTAATTTTGGAAATGGTGCAATCGCACACAAAAGTGCATGCAGCCGCACACGTGCAAGTGTGCAGCCGCAGACGCTCAACCGCTCACAAGTTAATGTAGCCGCACATGGTTCAGCTGCACACGCCTGTGTGCTGTTGCACTTGCATACGAAACAATTGACACTTCGATTAAATAGCAAACGATAAATGATTTTTCATAAAAAAATTCGATTTTTGAGCCGTGTTCATGAGAATTAGCATGTAAGAGCTTTGATTTCAAGAAAATTAGTGGAATATTCAAAGAGTTTCGAGAGAGAGGCTGTGTGTGTGTAGTTGAGAGAAAATGAGAATGGAAACAGTGCCGGTGAAAGTCTCACCACACACACCCTATATATACACAAAAACTTTTCATTCCCCCCCCCCCCACCTTTTTAATAATTAAAACCGATGCCCATACTCAACTTTTTTTAAAAAAAAAACACCACTTTGAGGATTAACTGACTAAAATTTATTATTCCTAAGGATTTTAAAAATAAAAAAATAATAAAATTAAATGTAAATTTATTAAAAAATAAAAAAATAAAAAATAAAAATAAAATAAAATTAGAATAGACTAAAATAGAATAAAATGGAAATACTATTAACGACAAAGAATTAAAATTTTTAATTTTAATCCTATATAAATTGTTTTAACCTTTGAGATGAGGGATCAAAGTTATTAGACAATCGTTGTTCATTTATCAGTTTCTTCCCTTCATGAATTGATCTGGTCGATCGCCGGTATTGTGGTCCACTTAAACACGAAAAATTTTGTGACAAATTTGGACATGCTATAAGAGACAAGACAGATTGACCCTAAGTTACTAGATAAAATTTCTAAGGACCATCTATCTGAAGACGACCAAGGATATTGTTGTCCACCTAAATTGAGCAGCGAGCTCTATAGACAATGTTTGAGTGTTCAATTTTAATTGTACTGTAACATGTTTCCCGCTTCTTGATATGCCCCAGTAATCATGAACTTCCAGAATACTCCTTACATCGGGTGAGCAGACAATCATTAAGAGAGAAGATAGATTCAGATTACTATCACTTATATTTTTTTAGAGGGATTGAGAAGTAGAAGGTTGCATATGTTGTGTACCAAGTCGGATTGTTAGTCACGCAAAGGAGACAGCATATGGCTAACAGATAAGAGGAATTTCATATATATATATATATATATATATATATATATATATATATATATATATATATATATAATATGCAGAGAAATAGAGTTGCATATGTTACAGTCCAGGTCGGATCTCTTCCAATCACGTAGAGGAGGCAACATATGACTGGAATTAAGGACCTAATTCATCGGAATTTACCAGTCGCCCCATCAATACTGGAATTAAGGACAGAATCCGCACATCGAGGAAAAGTTAAACCACGGTTTTAGATATGGGTTCATTTAATGTGACGAGTAGATTCCCATATATATCTCCCTGCTCAACCTATCCAAGCGTCATATTTTCAGGCTAAACGGAACTATCTAGGTCAGGATTTATCAAGTCTCTAGATTCCTTAAGTTCATCTGCACCTAATCAACTCCGTTAAATTCTTCATGCCTACCACTGCATCGAATACAAAACCTACACAATCCAGTTTTGATACTTTACACAAACTCAGATTGTCCGTTATCACTTGTTAATATCACTTCCCAAACCAACACAGATATATATATATATATATATATATATATATATATATATATATATATATATATTTAATTTTTTTGTTTTTCTAATGTTTTTGGATTTTCTAATTTTTCTCCCCTTAAATTTGTGCATAAAATAAAAAAAAATTAAAAAAAATGCGCAAATTTATCCTAAACTAAACACCAAAAAAAATATTAATCCTCAAAACGGATCATTTTAAGAAAATTAACCAGCACATCGAATCGAGCTTTGTTAAACGGCTTGGTGAACAGATCCGCTACATTATTATCAGAGCGGACCTGTTCGAGCCGAATGAGCGAACGCTCATAACATTCTCTGATAAAATGAATTTTGATGTCGATGTGCTTGGTTTTCGAGTGTTGGACCGAGTTTTTGGCAATTTGGATCGTAGCCTCATTATCACAGAAAAGAGGGCTTTCTTTAAAATTCAAACCGTAGTCCAACAGCAGACGTTGGATCCAGATGACTTGAGAACAATATGCAGATGCAGCGACATACTTTGCTTCTTCAGTTGAGGTGGAAACGGTATGCTGCTTCTTGCACTGCTATGAAACCAATCTATCACCCAGAAATTGGCATCCTCCTGAAGTCGATTTTCTGTCAAGCTCACACCCGCCATAGTTGTTGTCTGCAAAAGCATAAAGATCAAACTCTGGATTTTTCGAATACCAAAGACCCAGTGTTGGGCACCCTTTGAGATACCGAAAAATCTGTTTAACAGCAATTAAATGAGACAATTTAGGATTAGCCTGGTAGCGAGCATATTGACAAACCAGAAACATTACGTCTGGGCGACTGGCAGCGACCTTGCCGTATAGGAAAGCCGTCTTGACATCCATTTGGTATACGGTGAAGTTCATATAGGAAGCATATGCAAGGAATATACGAATGGCTTCCAAGCGAGCGACCAGAGCATAAACTTCTGTATAATCAAGACCCTCAACTTACCGAAACCGTCGAACCACTAATATTGCCTTGTTGCGCACAATTACACCTGAGTCATCTTGTTTATTCCGAAAGACCCATCGGGTGTCAAGAGATTTCTTTCCTTTTGGCAGCTCCACTAACTTCCAAACCCCGAGCTTCTCGAATTGATTAAATTCATCATGCATGGCGTCAACCCACCTGGGCTCATTCAGAGCCATTTCGACATTTTTGGGCTCAATCCAAGAAATAAAGCAAGAATAGAGACACGTATTAACATCTCCACTCTGACTTCACGTTTGAACACCTTTGCCTAGCTAGCCAATGACGTTCTCTATTGGATGATCACGCTGAATGCGTGCAGGAATCTCGTAGCTGATATCATTGACAGAGACTGGAAGAGTATGAATGTTAACTGCTCCATCATTTGTTGTGTGATCCATAGTAGATGAGCAAGGTTCGTTCGGAGGATCTGCTACAAACTCTTCAGCAATACTTTCTGGAAAGAGAAGTTCCAGTAGATTTGAAGTTACAGCGGAAGTCTCGTGGTTCATGAAATCTCTTTCCACCGGAGTTAGAGGAGTAGCAACAGCATCAGGAGAAGGTTGTTGAGGAGAAGACTCAGAAGATTCAATGTGAATAGAGGGCGCCATTGGAGGATCAGAAGAAACCAGTGGTGGTCGGCAGACAACTTCGTCTTCTTCATCTTCAATAATGATCTTCGAATTTGACGTAGATCCTGCTTGATTATCTGAGGACACATTGAATGAATTGAAAAGAGATGTGTAGTCAAATAGCCAATCAGGACCCACTCTTGCATCTGTCTCATTTTCTTCGAGCCAATGAACATCGAAAGATTCTACGATCTGTTTTGTCTTCTTGTTGTAAACCCTGTAAGCAGTTCAAGCAACATATCCAACAAAGTAACAATTATCGGCTTTTGCATTGAATTTGGGGTTGGATTCCAAGTGGAGAAGGCTGCAAGGGCAGCCAAATACTCGGAAATGGCTGACAGATGGCTTGTGTCCGTATACAATTTCATAAGGTGTCTTCATTATGGCTTTGTTGATCAGTACGCGATTCTGAACGTAGCACGCGGTGTTAATCGCCTCTGCCCAGAAGAACATAGGAAGCTTGGAGTCATAGAGCATCGTCCTTGCGGCATCTTTTAGAGTTCAATTCCTACGTTTAGCAACCCCGTTTTGCTGAGGTGTTCGAACTAAACTGAACTGACGCACAATCCCTTTCTCAGCGCAAAAATGATCAAGAATAGCGTTCTTGAATTTTGTTCCATTATGAGTACGAAGCACTTTCACTCGATTGTTGGTTTGATTTTCGATCATCATAATGAATCTTTTGACAAGGTCAGCGATCCCAGCTTTGTTGGAAAGAAAGAAAAACCCAATTGAACTGAGAGTAATCGTCTATCATAACTAGGCAATATGAGTTGTGATTGATGCTAAGAACATTAATCGGACCAAATAAATCCATATGTAACAACTCGAGCACTTGACTTATGGAGTTTATCTGCTTTGGAAAGTGTGATGATGCTTTCCTTGAGCACAGAAAACACATTTTTCAAATGTAATGAAATCTCTGACAGGTAACCCTCGGACCAGTTCATTCTTCGCAAGCCGATTCAAGTTTTTTGCATTCGCATAACCGAGACGACGATGCCACAACATCGAATTTTGTTCAGAAGCTTTGAAGAAAAGACAAGTGACTTTTTCACGGTTATTGATGTTCATGTCTATAATGTAGGCATTCCCATCCCGCTTAGATCTTACAAGAATCCAATCTTCAGGGATGAAAACACCAGGATTTAAGATCAGACGCTCCTTATCTATGAAATGAGTGGAGTAACCCTTGTCCCAGATCTGGGACACACTCAGCAAGCTGTGCTTTAGTTCAGGAGCAAGGTTAACATTCTCAAAATTCAGCACTCCATTTGAAACAGTTCCTTTTTAGTAATTTTTCCGCCCTCTCCGCCCGCAAAGGAAACATATCCTCCATTAAAAGTTTGAATGTCGTGCAGTTGGGATATGTCTCCAGTCATGTGTCGGGAGCAGCCGCTGTTGACATACCAGGGTCTGACGATATTTTTCCGCAACTGTACCTGAACGATGAGTGGATTTATTTAGTTTTGGGGACCCAGGTCATCACAATCCTGGGTTGACCGTTTCCTTCCACAGATTTTTCATTTGATTCTTTCTTTTCATTTGATGTAGAGGTTAATGGTTACTGATCTGAAGCTGATTTTGAAGTTGATTTTGGTATCCACTAAAAGTTAGGTTTTGAAAATTTGTTTGTTTGCTTTGAGCCGGTGGATTTTCT